ACTTGGTTCCCCTATATTCCTGCTATAAGTGAACCATCCAATATTATTCTTTTTCCTTCTGACTTATTTCACTGAGCATAATTCCTTCTAGCTCCATCCACGTTGCTGCTAATGGCATGAGTTTATCTTTTTGATTGCTGAGTAATAGGCATGAGGTATTTTAAGAGTAGAAATGCTCTAGTATTATTTCCCACCTCCTATCTAATAAGACATAGACAGTTATACTACTAGCTTCAATTTCTCGAGGGCTTTCTATATGACAGACAACATGCTAATCACTTCACATATTTTATTTTATATAATTCTCATGACAATTCCATCCCATAGGGAGAAAGAAATTAAAGTCCAGAGCTTCAATAGCTGGGATAGAGATACACAGCCATAAGGAACAGGGAAAGCTACTTTAGAACTGTTCAAAACATTTAATTCTATTAAAGTAAAAATCTGAGAAAAACAAGGATCAGGCATACATAGACTACACAGAGAAATATTATGAGGCAAATCCAAAGTTTGGTCTCAGTGTTGAAAGTGAGCTATGCCATGCCCTGTTTGCCACAGCTTAAGGGAGAAAGCTGCTAACCAGTGAGTAAGTCCACCAATTCAGCTATTCCTGCCTGATGTTAAGACTGTATTTTTCAAGAGCAATAGAATTCCTTTAAATTTAAAAAAACAAAGATTTCATGAAAATGATTGTTTGCCATTTTATTGCTCCCTTCCTGTCACTGTTTTTGAACTAGAACATGGAGTCCTTAGTGGACAAAGGAAGGGCAGGAGCATCAATCTGTTGTCTAATAATTTCTGAGTTGACAGATGTGTGAATACTCATGCAGTTAGATGAGCTAATTATCCACACTGGACATTTACCTAGTTCCCCATGCTCCCTTCATGGTCACATTTTAGGCAGGTCACATTAATTGGACAGGCCTTTTATAAGTTTGCTCTTTTTTTCCAAGTAAACCTCTTCTCAGAGTTAGACCACCACCACCACCACAACAACAACAACCACACACACACACACAAACACACAAAAGAACAAATTCTGTAAGAGTTTAATATAGGAGAGGAGATCAGGAAATTATTATGTTCTATATTAGTTTAGATAAAGGGCTACATTAGAACAGTGTCAACCAAAGGGCAATCCTTATGAAACCAAAGCTTGTGGTTTCTCAGCTGTGCAACTTCACTGCGCAGATGTAAACTAGAGTGGCCAAATGCAGCCATTCTTTATTTCATCGACTTGGGTCCATTTGTGGTCTAAGTTCTACTCATATATTTAGTCTTGAGAAGATCACAGCTATAGCTCCCTCTCCATCATCTTTTTTTATTAGTCATCTTGTTTTCCAAAATGGGATACCATAGGAAACAATTTTACTTCATGGAGGGTGAGAAAGGAGATTACTACTTTCAGGAATATTACACGATTTACATCTACTAGATTGAAAATTCTTGCCATTTATCAATGAAGGAATTAATTAGTATGTGGAGGGAGTGTATTGTCTCAGAATTTCATGAATCCTCAGGCCAGGAAGGATGGAAACATCCACTACTTTTGTAGGGATCATTCTTTCCTCCAGTAAGCACTTACTTTTGCAAGCATCTGGAGCTGAGAAGGGTCTCCGGAGGTCCCGGTAGAAGCCTGTCTTACATCGTTGGCAATGCTGACCTTCCGTGTTATGCTGACAGTTGTTGCAGACGCCACCACTGCGATTCCCTGATGCTGCCCACACATTAATGTCAAAGTGACAGGTATCAGCATGCCCATTGCACTTGCAGGCTGGCAAAAAGAAACAACAAAGGAAACCAAACAATTAAAAAATAAAGTGACAGTTTTTCTAATACTCAAGCAGTTAAAAATAGGATACATTGTTTGATAATTTCTAAATGCTATTTTTAGTTTTTTAGTGCATGTTTTCATAGCACAGGAATCAAAACAATACAAAAAGGTATACATTGAGAACTCTAGTCTCCCCTCCCCAGCTACCACTTTCTCTTGCTGTCAATAGTTTTCCTTCCTCTCTTTCTTCCTCTCTCTCTCCCTCCACTGGTTCTTTGCAATTTTTAACTAAAATAATTAAGTCTCAGCATTGCATCCAGTCAACAAATTGTAGACTCTTCTACTTAGGCAGAGATACTACAGTTACCTTAGTAACTGAAGTTGGCATTTATTTTGTGAAGATTGAGTGACCACCTGTTTTTTCCCCTCTTTAATGGTAGTACTTCACATTTCCATTCCTGCTACTTCCCGAGACCCAATAGCATCACTGTGGGTCTCCAGCCTTGTTTAGGGACCCTAGGTTGACAGTTAAGGCATTACCGAAAATGACAATTCATTTTGCAAATGCAGGTCTGAATTCATGCTCAATAATGACCTTGAAAGGAAACTTCCGGTGGACAGGAGTTAATAAATGGACAGGTACAGTGATTTACCATTCATGAAATACTTTTCCTTAGCTATTGTGCCATTTTGGTGAGTACAACATAGTCTCCCATAGAAGCCTCGGTTTCTTATAGAAGAGGCCTGCAGTATTTCTTATGTAGCAGGCATTCAAAGGCATTCCTAACATTATCAATCAATAGTACCAAGTGACAAGTCTCTGTGTCCTATATGTATTTAGATATTCAGTTGGTTTTTGTGGAAAGGGCCAGAATGGCACTCTAGGAATTTAGGGAAAATTCTTTAGATTCTCTTGATGAGTGATTTAGCATAAGAATTCAGACTTTTTTGTGGAAGTAAATTGTATTTGAGAATGTCTGTGCTATTGTTTTTCCATTGTTTCCGGGATGTGTTATGATATTTTGACCAGATTCATAACCTTTCAAAAGCATATTATAAGATAATTTAAGATTTATGCTTAGAGGAAATCCTTTATATTTCCTGGAAACTGAAATAAATCAGTTACAGTTCCAAATTATGTATGGGAAAAGACTTCTCACAACTTTACCCACAGTATTTACCTTTAAATCATTGTAAAATGTGGGTTTGTGTGTGTATATTTCTAGGAACATTTTGTATTGCAAATAAAAAAGTTTCATGCTCTCAAATTAATCTCCAACCGCCAACTGAAAGTTAACCCTGGTAGTGTAGTCGCATTCTTGACTAACTGGCTTAATTTCAAATCTGATTTGTCATTTCAAATTATCATAAGTGAAAAGGGAGTCACTCTGGTATTATGGAAAAAACGTACTAGTTTTAGAGTTTCTAGACTTACCCACATCCAGATTCTATCATTTATGAACTATCAAGTTACTTAATCTTTTTTTTTTAAAGATTTTTTATTTTTATTTATTTATACAAGCACTGGGTACAGCCAGAAGCGAGGGAGGGTGAGAGAATTCACCAGAGCCAGAGCAGGGAGCAGAGCAGGCAGAAGGACCGAAGTACACTGCTGAGGGGAGCAGCGGGCGGCAGGAGAGGTCTGTGCGCCATGTGGGACCCTCCTGCGGTGTCTGGGGAGCAGCCGGGGATCGAACCGGCTCTGCAGAGGCTGCGGGCAGCTTCGCAACCCAGCGCTCAACCGCTGCGCCACCAGGGAGGCCCAAGTTACTTAATCTTACTAAGCTTCAGTTTTCAGAATCTGTAAAATGGGATTAACACCATCTGCTTCATAGAGTTGTTCCAAAAGCTGAGTTCAAGATAGCCATTTTCATGATTATAATTCAATAACTCAGCCATGAAGGTAACTGTACACCATAATCCTCAGTTGCTCTAGTGTCTAGCCATGTTTTTATTATGTCATATTCTCAAGGAGGGTGTGTAGGTCCAAGCAAAAGGCAAAAGATTCCTGGCTGAACAGTCATACTGGCAACTTTACAAGCAGTAGTAGTTTCCAGTGTTTGAAGCCACGGTGGGCAGTGATATGGGCTATGTTTATGTAGGTTACAGTGTCTGTCACCCACCACTTTCTATTTTGTTTCTAGAGATAACAGTTCACAGATAAGTTTACTTCACAAAGAAGGCTTTGAGAATTGTGGGTTTGGTACTTACTTCTGCATTCATTAGGAGATCCTGTTTTGCCATCAGCTGCCTCCCAAGGCTGGTCATTGTATAATGGTGCACAATGTTGGCAATGGGTGCCTGCTGTGTTGTGCTTACACATACACTTCCCATGGACCTACAAACAAAAACGAGAGTTATGAGACAAATGAAGCCAGTGAAGAACATTTTTCCCACAACCTCATCTCCATGATTGGATTTCACATTAGGACTTTCATTCATTGATTTTGCTGAACAAGTTAACTGTCAAGATGAGAGATCCTTTTCTTGTAATAAACTTGAAAGATTCAGTAATATATTTTCTTGGTTGTAGGATATGTGGCTAATGAACAACTCTGTATATTGGTTAGGTATTTAATTTTTAATAACTGAAATATTTTGACTTCTTTACATAAAAGTAATACATATCTACACTATGGAAAATTAAGAAATCTGTAATTCCATCACAACTTGACATCACTATTAACACTGGAAGCATATGTTTCCAGTACTTTATTTTTTTTTAAGATTTATTTATTTATGCATACAAGAGCTGGGGTACAGGCCAGAGATGGGAGCGGGGGTGAGAGGATTCACCAGAGACAGAGTAGGGAGCAGAACAGGCAGACTGACTGAAATACACTGCTGAGGGGAGCAGCAGGCAAGACAGGAGAGGTCTGCTGCACCATGTGGATTTCTCCCTGGTGGGCTGGGGATCAAACTCATGCTGCA